GACCTCGATGACGCAACAGCCTCCTAGTGGCTCAGTGGTAAGTCTGTACACTTACAGTGCTAAAAACTGGGCTTTGATACCCATGGTGAGCAGAGCACAGATAAACCATTGTGTACCTTTGCACTTAACAACAGCAAAAATTATTACTTTTTTTTTATAAAGGTAAAAGGTACTGCTCTAAGCAGAAGACTAGTTACCAGCAATGTGAAACGTCACACCCTCTGCTGGTAGCTGTATTTTTTTATTTTTTGCTTAAATGTCCACACCGACACACAGTCACATTCCATCCTACTGTCAAGAGACCTGCGCCCAAGCTTCTTGTAGTTGTAGTCGTTCACAAAATAATTATCTTTCTTCTCCTTCTCAGATCAGTAGAATTCAACTCAGTAGAATCTTTCATATTATACCATCTATTTCTATTGTTGGATGGTTCTTTTCGATTATTTGGTAAAAAGTATAATGTAAAATTTGGTCCACTTAATGATAACAAAAAACATTGTATTTCTTCAACTACTGATAATGATAAGAGTGACAGGCCTAAGTGCTTATTTATAGTAAAACACTTCCTAACTTCTCTCATATGTCAAGAATAAAATTTAAAATAAGATTAATTAAAGGTTTAAATAAACAATCAAAATGAATACATGTATTACTTAGTCTCTGAACCTTTGTTGAAAAGTAAAATGTTTTCCAAAGATTAATCAAACTGTACTCCCCCCCCCCCCCCATGTCTCGCTAATGTCTCGACCTTTCTCGGGTTGTCTTTGTGTCACTGACGTCTTGCAAAAATCGGTTGGCATTTATCTATCAGGATGTCAACTTGCTTGTAGTGTTTCGAGGCCGTCGTATAAATTGTGCTCAACTGTTTCTAAGTGAACGTTAATCATACTTTTCCCATCTGGAGTCTACGATCGTGTCAATGAACATTATACATGAAATTCTGTTATAACAACTGGAATAATTTCGTGAAATACGAGGTGTTTTACTTAGAACTGTGGATACTTTAGAAAACTGAACTAATGAATAATCCACTTTCTTTAATGTCAAATTCCTGAAAATCAACTTATTACAAAAGTATAAGAAAACACTACAGCGACAGTGAACAAACTTGTGAATTATCTGCTCTAAACAAGGACTTTCAACGATAAGTAACAGTTTGGGTTATATGTTCTGTACATGGACTTTCAACAATAATTTGAATTATTTGTTGTTTCCAAGGTTTTCCAATTGTAATCAACAGACATTGGGGTGTTTCCTCCAAAATGGGCTTTTGACGATATTAAGCTTTGAGTTACTTGCGTTATACTTGGACTTTGAACGATAATCAGCAGACTTTGAGTTATCTGCTCTATACAACACCATTCTGAATCAATAAAAATTAACTACCTCAAACTGACACTTTGTGTTTAACGAGTATTGGTTTCATATTCAGCACCTTTAGTTATTTTAAGTCTAACAGACTTTTAATTCCAATAATAATAATGCATATTTTGTTTGTTATACATTAGTGTGTTGTTATATTTAAAACAATTTGAATGTGCAAATCAATAAACCACGATTTAAAGTCGAGGTGGAAATGTATATATCAGAACTACATTTTGAAATTGTTTTTCATTTGTAGGTAGTGTGTTGCGACCGCGAATGTATCGCTTTTGGAAAGGGTATGTAGCAGCTCCTTTCGATACAAAATATTAATATACTCAGATCACACAGGTGTGTTCAGATAGGGGATTTAGAATTTCAAAGAAGAGGATATCCCTTGTACGTAATGGCAATGGAAAACGAAAGAATATAGATCAGCATGGAACATCTGGCCCATTCTTCTAGAAAAAGACCTGAGCCAAAATGTATACCAGTCGTGGTAAGCAAAGTATAGCATTTTCTAACAGGTGAACATCCATTTACACAATTTTCAGTGGCAAAGCAGTTCACACGTCCCAACATAAGCAAAAAAGATCTCCGTCTGGAAAAATGACAATAATCACGTGTACACAAGTTGCTTCCATGACATACTGTTTCCACCATTACATACCTCAAGCAGCTGGAGAATGAAGTGGATATTAATGTTAGTCCATATGAAGGAACATACTGGTCAATACTCCGAACGCAACACTATATATTTCTGCGTGATCAGATTGATGAAACTGGCATTGAAAAGCCATTGTCCTCGTAAAATAGAGGGTATATAGAAAGCTAGCAGGGAGGGGTGGTGTGCTTTAGACAAGAAAGCCTTAAGCTGGAGCTTTTTGCAATGGATACTATACTGCAGAGTATTGTCAAGATGCACGATCACCAGATAGAACATGATCAGACATAGTAACATGGACTGTAACAGCGTAGCGAAGCCTTCAAAATCGTTTTGAAATAACGTACAAAACCTTTGTGTATTCATCCCACCTTGCTTTGAAGGAATTTCAATTTCATTAAAAATTAGTAGAGAACAGTGGAATATTTAACGTCAGTGCAATCGGGGCAACGTACCAACAGGCTCACAAAAGTAATGAAAAAAAACCTTATAAATTTCTATACCTATAGCTGATCAGTACAAACGGCCCTCCTAAAAAAATTGCATCAAAAAGTTTGAAGTATTAAAAACGCCCCTGGTAGGGAAAAGATTGTGCATATTAATTATATGTTATAATTGGAACTTATGATACAAAATGTGACTTGCTTTGGATGAATGTATTTATTTTATTAAAGAGTTAAAGTCACCATGTTTAGTCTAACGACATCTAGTTTCTGTTTTTGCTAATGCATATCTCCCTCAATTTTTAACTTATCAAAAGTCGGAATTTCTTCAAACACGACCTTTTTCATCCTAAATCAGATATGGAGAATAAAAAGTTACATAAAAGAGAGGAGCTGGTAGTGTGTGTAGAACTTAATTTGCATTGCTTTTTAATTAGTATTTGGACAATAATGAGAGAAACTCTTTCTCCAAAAGTTCGAAAGAAAAATTTGTATTTTTTAATGCTCCAGTTGGTGATCGAGGTAAACTGTAATTTTGTAAAGACAATGGGTTAATTTATTCAACAATAATTCAGATTTTCCCTTAATCAGGACTTGTGATCATGAATCATGTTGATGTCTATCAAACTTACTTTAGCTAATTAAACGACAAACCATTGTTGCTTGCAAATGACAAAGATCCATTGGGGCAGAAAACAAGAAGAAGAGAAATAATAGTTGTCAATCATCGGAATTTTACTAAACCGGCATCCTAGACTTAAATGTTTCAGGAAATAGGAGGGGGCAGTTTGTTTTTCAATAAAGTGCTTGTGATAAATACAATCAGTGAAACGAAGCACAACGTAACAGTCGCTCAACAGTCAAACAGAGCACTTTTGTCTGTGGCCGGACATTTTTTATATACTGTGCTCGTTCATGTTGACTCGTCAAAACATAGTTACATGACAAACGCGTAAACTTCTTTAATGATATAAGCTTCTAACAAATGAAAATTCAACTTTCTATGATCCAACTACGAGCACCAACACACGATTTTACAAACCTTGTCTGTGTGCTTACAATAACAATGGCTAACAAAGAAACAGATCCACCCTTAGAAATTTCACTTAGTTACCACTGTATAAGCTTTTTAGATCTTAAAACAGAAGTGTCATTTGAGAAATTAAAGCCCCCTCCCCCTCCTTCATGGCACAGCGGTATGTATGCAGACTTACAACGCCAGAAACTGGTTTCGATACACGTGACGGGCAGAGCACAGATAGCCCATTATATAGTTTTGTGCTTAGCTACAAACAAACAGACAAATTAAACTGTTAATCGCCGACGTTGCTTATTACAAGCCTGACTAAAAATGAATTTGTGAGGAACAAATATTTGTTTGTTTTCAATTTTGCGCAAAGCTACACGAGGGCTATCTGCGCTAGCCGTCCCTAATTTAGCAGTGAAAGACTAGAGGGAAGGCAGCTAGTTATCATCACCCTCCGACAACTCTTGGGCTACTCTTTTACCAACGAATAGTGGGATTGATCGTCACGTCTGAAAATGAGAGTATGTTTGGTGGGAAAGAGATTCAAACCCGCGACCCCCAGCTTGCGAGTCAAGCGCCCTAACCACCCGGCCCGTGAGGAACACAAAGAGAAGAAAACAACATTATTTCTCGCTATGTTGGTAACGCATTTTTTAATTTTACTATTTATATGTTTATTTATTATTTTATAAGCTTCCAATATGGCTAGATTACAAGTTTGTTATTAAAATAAACTTTTTTCACATTCTTCTTAGTTAGAGCTTTATGGATTTGAAACAAGAGATGCGAAATAAATAGAATGTCAATTCTTTATTGCCTGCAAGTTTGTCCGTCCAACCTTATGAATACAGCCGAGAAAAATTATCTTACTACGATCTAAATGTAGAAATAAAGTTTTCATGGTATCATAGCTGCTGCCTAGTTCTAAAATGTTGTTCAAGAAAAATGTATGACTGTATTGCACATCACTCTCAAATACCATTAATTATTTGACCGCCCATTTTTCACTTTTGATCTGACAATTTTCATTATAGCCTGCTATTTTGACCTTCAACATTATGTTATATTATGGTTTGGTTTAATATGTTAGTATGACACTAATTAAATGGAGATAATTGGGCTAACATCCGAAGGACACAATCAGATCCGGTCTTATGTAAGATACAAAGTGTGGGACCCTTCATAGTATTACAGTTTGTAATACACTAAAGAATATGTTTTGAAGTCGTAATACATCTAACATCATTTAGTGCTAACTTTGTAAAACTAAACAACAGTGTTAAACCACATATTGTTGTCAATTTATATTTACGATTTGTTTGTTTTTAAGCTTAAAGCTACACAATGGGCTAACTGTGCTCTGTCTAATGTGCGTATCGAAACCGGATTTTTGGTGTCATAATATGTTTAAGGAACCAAGAACTAAATAATAAATTTAACTTTATATACTTGTAAAATTAATGAAATTGATCAATGAAACAATAGATTCATAACATAAAATATGCTTTACAAATGTTGACTACGTACAAAACCTTATGTTATGAGTTATATGAAGCAAATTTACCTCAGGTATGGAGCTCACTCCAAAACCCCTGTAGAGAGTTTTTCTTTTCTTCCGTCGAGGTGGTGGTATTGGAATTTTGGAAGAATCCACAGGTGGTAAAGGAGGTGGGTTACGAGGTGTGAGACCACTAGAGATAAGAGTGTCAATTGCACGTCGCAGATGTGTCTTTCGCTTTGGATGACGATGATACATGTCATCACAAGAAAGACAAAAAATATGCATGTTGCATTTGTCACAGCGAACTGCTGGCGAGGAGCAACCACAAAGATCACAGCGGCTTCCATCTGGCACAGTAGCTGTGTAAAAAGGGTATTTCATAGGAAACTTTAGTCGAAAGTCATGTTTGTTTTCTTAAAGTGAAAATACTTGTAAAATTTTGGCTTACGATAGATTTGTTTATACCTAGGTTTTGGAATTATTAATACTTTATAGAACAAATATGACACTCAGAAAATCTGTTGCTATCATTCTTAATGTTTATCTTCTTTATCAAGTATTGCAGGTATTTGTTACAGGGAGTTGTAGTGATTTGTTTTTCTTTCTTTTTAGTTTTTCTGTGTTACACATTTTGTTCATTCTGAAAAGTAGACAGTCTATGACGTCTGTCTTTATACTGTTTGGGTGGTTTGAATTAAGTAGTATCAACGGGTTTCCTGTAAACTTATGTGGTACATGCGTTATGTGTCTTTTGACGTACAAGTTGACTATAAATTCTGTATTTATCGCACATTGAGAACAAATATTTAACGTGAGCTACTAATGGTTTATCAGAATAACTGTGTTAGCAATGCTACTCTAATATATATTATTGAAATATAAGGCATTTAAGCGTAAGCTTATAAATTGTGCTGTGTCACACGAATTGGTAAATACATTCTAGATAAGTGTGAATGATGATTTATATGTAGCTGTCACAATATGGACATAACGTAGAAACATACAAAAGTTGTATTAGCTAAACAATCCAGTATTTTATAAACTATGTGGGTGAACAATAACCTTTATATTATAGATATTAAGACTGACACTGCTATATTTGTGAAATAATGAAATAGCAGATTTGTGTTTGACTTGTATAAAAACAAATAAACTCATTTGAATTATACGAAACGCTTGTCTAAACATTGGGAACTTTGTACAGTGCCAACAAACATTTGTATCTGGAATTAATACATGGAAAATCGTACATTTAGAATATCATGATACGATATTTTAAATAGACAGATATAATTTATAATAAAAACATGGAAAACAGACTATCGTATAAGCTACTATCAGAATGATTGGTATCCGTTCGTCACATCCATGTCGTATTTGATTACTTTATGACAGCTGGTGCGATGGAGAAGTATAAAAAAACACAATTCTTAATAAATTAAGCAGGGGTAAAATATGTCGAATGGATATTTATGATTTATATGTTAAGAAAAGTGTTACATTTAGTTAGAATAAACGACTTCCAATTTATTTTAAACTACCCCAAACTACACTGTTGCCTAGGGATAAAGGTCAGCCTTTGGTCAACGGCAAATGCATATGTTTCAAAATGTGTCGCTATTCGTGAATAAACGTCAAACATACAGCGATATATATTTGTTAATAGGTTTAGAGTTTTTATTTTAATATAACCATTTAATTTCTATACAAGTTTCTTGAAAAGTATAATAGTCAAAACAGATAAAGTAAATATTAATTACAACAAAATGTATGTTTATGAGACCAATTTTGAAAAAAAAATTATAGAAGAATAGCGTTACTTACAAGTTTGCGGGTTTTTCTTACTCTCCATGACTATCACCTTTTTTCGAAATCAGAAGTGCTTGTCTCAAAACCTCTGAGGTATTTTCTTTCTAGAAGCAAATACCAGCATGGCTGAAAAGAAAAAAATCGCTTACATTTTCTGCCCACATATATAAAAAAATACTCGTGCTTTGTTGTGGGGTTCAAAGGTCCCAGTGTAAGGTTGGAAATCAACTATTATCCCCAGCTATTTTATTAGCTATCCCAAGAGTGATCTGCATCCCGAAAACAAGCCTGTTAGGACACCTGTCCGTATCACATGCTTGGTCCCGTTAGTTTCATAATGGAAGTATGAATTAATTAACACAGTTTCAAACATGGCACCCAGGATATCAAGGGCAGATAGAAACACAAAATCATTCTTGTTCAAAGACCATGAAAACCTACTTCTATTAATCCATCATGCTTTGATGACCTTCTGAGCGCGTTTCAGACACTTGGATAGGGGGATACACCATATAGAGATGTGAGATGATTTCGCAAACAATCAAATTAAAAATTCACAAACACACAACGTAAAGTAACATGGGTTTATCTGACCATGGTTCGTTGTTTAATTTTAGCTGTATTTAAGTCTATCATCATATATGCGACCAGAAAGCTTTTAAGGAGAGAGTTCACTTTCAATCCACCAAAAGAACGACCTTTACAAATATACGAATATAGTTGATAAGGAAATAATGTACGAATAGTTTTAAAAGTTACTATACAATATAACATGCGATCTTTTTTTTTTAATTTTGCTTTTTTAAAAAATTGTTTTATAAACTTTTATAAAATACAGTTTAAATATATAGATACATAAGTCAGATGGAAAATGTTAAAAACAATAACATAATATATATGAGTCCCAGAACAAGTGGTTAGGGGGCTCAACTCGCAATCCGAGGGTAGCGGGTTCGAATCCTCGTCCCACCAAACATGCTCGCCCTGTTAGCCATTGGGGCGTTATAATGTGATGGTCAATCCCACTATTTGTTGGTAGAAAAGTTGGCGGTGGGTAGTGATGACTAGTTGCCTTCCCTCTAGTCTTTCGCTGCTAAATTAGCGCAGATAGCCCTCGTGTAGCTTTGAGCGAAATTCAAAACAAAACAAACCAAACCAACTTGTCATCCAGTGGCTCAGAGGTAGATCTAAAGGCTTGTATCGCTAAAAACTGGGTTTCGATGCCAGTGATGGGCACAAAAAAAAGATAGTCCATTATGTAGCTTTGTATTTAATTACAATCACGTGGATAAAATATGATACCAAAATTATTTTTATAATTACGTTCAGAGACTGTATTTTTTGACAAGAAAACGACAGGATTTGTCTTCCCTTACATATCATATCCCCATTATTATAAAAATAAATCACTGAAAAGAAGTCAAAATTAATTTAGCCCTATGGCATAATTACAACAATATGCAAAACAAGAAGTCATTTCTTACGTAATATTACTCCTTAGACTCGTGGGCCGGGAGCGACCCGGTGGTCAACGTGCTGGACTGTAATCTGAGATTCCGTGCTCACCACACACACACACATAAAATCGCGCTCTACTCATTGGAGTCATGGCTATGTTATACGTGAGTCGGTCAAATCCCATTATTCAATCAGAGTAGCCCAAGGGTTAGCGGTGGGTGGTATTGACTATTTGCTTTCCCTCTAGTCTGTCAGATAGCTCTCGAGGAGCTTTGCACGAAATTCACAACATTTTACAATCATAGGTTGGATTTATACGCCAAACACAGCTTTGTTTTCCGTGTGAATTATAATAGTTATTGAGCAAATAACAAAAATAAGTGAATTTCTCATTGTTTTAAAGTAGTTAAGATTAGAAATAAATATTATGTTATGTAAAGGTAACTCTTCCTGGTACATATGTTTTTAGCACACATTTTTAAGGCTGTTGATAAATTGAAATGTTATTGATATCAGGTAAGTTTCATTGTAAAGCTGTTGATAGTGTTGTTCGTTCGCTACCATACATAGGTGATTTTTTATTAATTTTATACAGAATTAAAAGGAATGGTATTTTATAACACAACACTGATGGCAAATCATATTTAATTATACTTTTACGAAAATCCGTGTTTGTAGTAGAATTTATAATGGTAACAAATCAGGTTTAGTGTCATTTAACAGGTTATTTTTACGTTCTCATATTCCAACTGCAACTGGCTGTAATATATTCTACTAGACCAAAAAAATAATTTGAATCCAATTATAAAACCATTTCACGTACTAATTTTTTTGGAATAATCAAAATAATTATAATTCGGTTATTAGAGCCACGTCATGTTCTGACATTTCCTATACTGGATCAAATCATTATAATACAATTATTAGAACCACATCTCGTTCTGACATTTTTTTACCGAATCAAAATTATTAAAATCTAATTATTGGAATCACATCATGCTCTGATATTTTCAACTGAATCAAAATTTCTAGAATCCAGGTATTAAAAGCCACATCATGTTCTAACATTTTCTAGTGGATCTAGCAGGATACAATTTTTAGAACCACATCACGCTTTAATATTTTATATACTAGATCAAAGCATTAGAATTAAATAATTAGAACCATACCATGTTTTGACATTTTCTACTGAATCAAAAGTATAATAAAATCCCATCATCATCACCTGATATTTCCTATAATGGATCATATCATAAGAATCCAATTATTATAACGACATCACAATTTGACATTTTCCACTGAATTAAAATCATTATTAAAAACACATCACGTTCTGACATATTCTATACTGAATGAAATGATTAGAATAAAATGATTAGAAACATGTCAAGTTTTGACATTTTCTAGTGGATCCAAGTAATATAATTTGGTTATTAAAACCACATTATGCTGTGATATTTCATATAATGCATCAAGTGATTAGAATCCAATAATTAGAACCACACCACATTTTGACATTTCTTACTAAATCAAAGTCGCTATAATTCAGTTATTGGAATCTCATCACGTTTTGACATTTGCTTATGAATCAAATCATTAGAACCCAATTATTAGAACTACATCACGTTTTGACATCTTCTACTGAATCAAAAGTATTAGAATCCAGTTATTAAAACCACATCTAGTTCTGATATTTTCCATATGGGATCAAGTAATTAGAATCTAATTATTAGAACCACATCACGTTCTGACATTTTCTATTGAATCAAGGTCATTATAATCCAATTATTAAAACCATATCATGTACTGACATTTTCTTCTGAAACAAAAGCATTACAATTCAGTCATTAGAATCACATCACGTCCGAACATTTTATAGTGGATTCGAGAGGTAGAATTCAATTATTAGAATCCAATACGTGATACTATTGTGATTAGAATGACAATAGTATCACGTATTGGATTCACAAATTGTATTATTTTCTACTGAGTTCATGTATCATAATCATAACTAGAATTACATTTTCAAAGGATTCGTAGCTCACGTTAACGCTTTATATCCGTTAAGTTACTAGAACCACGAGTTGTTGCACATTTTCTACTGATTTCAGTATGAGAATAACACTTATTGTATCACGTACAACTTGTTTTAACATTTTATACTAGATTTAGCTGTTTATCTAATTTCTGTTTTATGCCTGTCAAACAGTGAAATAAGTGAAATCTTAAATACGTCCATACTAATAATCCATGATATTTAAAAAAAAAAAGAGATAGAAAAACATTTAAAATTTCACTCAAGCCACAAATGTAAAATGCTTTTATATTTTAAATAACTGAAAACACCTATTTGAACAATGTATCATTCCACTCAAAACTTTTGATTACAATTATCTATAAATAAACTTCAGTATTACAAACTGTATAGTTGAAATCTTTAGAAACAAAAACTTTTCCTCACTTCTTGACTTTATCCAAAACATTCAGTTCAGAAAACAGTACACTCTCCATTGCAGCACCATTCCTTCTCAGCTCTACAACGCAATCTTAGACCACTTACAAACAGACAGATGTTTGTCCCTAGCCACTCAGGAAAAGCCAAGAACTGGCACCTTTACAGATGACATAGTGAGCTATATTTACTAACAACACATAGCTTTAGAGAGGATATAAATAGAGTAAGTACTGTGCAGTAATACCTAAGGGATGGTGAGATATTTATAGAAAAATTCAGTAGATGTTCTAGCCATGTTATCCAGTGGCAACCCATGTAAAAATATCAAAGTTTTCCATATAGGTTTAAATACAACACTAATCACTTTAGGTTATTTGAATCATATGAAAATGATTTTTTAAATTAAATGTATGATATTTAGTTTGATTTTGTAAGACGAAAATACCAGTTACATATTACAACACTAATCAAATCCGCTACACATTCTTTTTCGTCATTACATAATTTTCCTTGTTTGTAATGTCAATAAAACTAAGTTATAAACTACTACTATCTCCCCCTCGCCCCATCCACTTTTTTCTAGAGTAATGTCGTGTGGGTTTAAGTTAATGAATATTTTTCAAACAAAAAGGTTTATAAAACAATAAATAATTTGTACAAGTAAAATTACGTGTTACCTTCCATACTTCAGCTATCGGTGTTTAATACCATAACGTAAGTAGTATTTCAGATAAATGTTTAGCTGCCATATTTTATACAAATATCGATTGACGTTTACTTTCTTTGGTAATGTAGTCCCCCTCCCAATTCCAGCATCACATCAGAGTATCGTTTACTTTTCTTTGATAATTTAGTTTCGTCAAATCAAGCATTATATCAAAATATCAATTTGGTAATGTGGTTCCCTAAAATATTATAGTACATAAATAACTCATAATATTTCTTTACGTTTAATGATATACTGTTCCAAATTACAATGGTGCCGATTAACCGAACATGCTCTTGTTTGTACTATACATAACTATTTTTTCTTATCTCCTCAGGTCATCCGCTTTCCTTGAGGGAAATATAATAGCCTCAAGTTATACCGAGATGCAGGTTTATAAGAAAACCCATCTCGTAACCATAATTAAGTTTCTTTAATGAAAACTAATTTCTCTTGTGTCGGTTTGTTTGTTTGTAATTGAGCACAAAGCTATACAATGGGCTCTCTGTGCTCTGCCCACCACGGGTATCGAAACCCGGATTCTAGCGTTGTAAGTCCGCAGACATTGGGCCACTGGGGGAGGGGGCTCTTGTGTCTCTAAAGTAAGTAGAAACTTTGTATATATATATATATATACATGTTTGTCTGTTTTGAATTTCGCGCAAAGCTACACGA